GTAGGTAGTAGTAGTAGAAGTAGTAGTAGTAGTAGTAGTAGTAGTGGTGGTGGTGGTAGTAGCAGCAGCTGCAGCAGTATCAGTCGCATCATCCACAGCTGATGCCGTAGCAGTGGCAGCAGCAGCAGCAGCAGCAGCAGCAATAGCAGCAGTTGTGAAGGTACTCGCACCAGTACTGAAATTCGCAAGAGGTTGGACAACGAAAAGTGGCCAGGTCGTTGAAAACAATGGAGATCAGAGCAGAAGAGCGAGGATTAGGATGCACCATCAGACGTGGCATTGCTGGCCAAAAATCATCTTGTTCGTGTTGACCCACCCTAGCAGGAGCGACAAGGATTGCAGCTGTTCTTTGGCTTTGGATAGATCTGGATTTCTCTTGCATAACACTCGTATATAGGCCTGAGTTTAAGGCTTATAGAAGTTTTGCAGCATTAAGCGTGACTGCCGGCACTTGCAGATCCCCCTCCCAGGCGTATAGCACAACATGATCTCAGCACCTTTGCAAGCATTCCCCAGCATCCAGGTCGCTGCAGGCGCTACAGTGTTCTAACGAAAATGACCCTGAAATCTCGCGGGGTATACCAGAGCTGCCAGAACAAGCCGCATGTCCTGTCAGGCTTTGGCGCGAAATGATGGCCTTGCAGATTCAGGCACATCTCTTCTTCCAGATTCCACCCAGACCTTTATGCAGGCATTCGCCTTTGAATCCGTGTGTTAAGATCCAAGCAATATTCGACGATGATCCCGGCAAGATGGCACGTCCTCCACCCCTGCGGAGTGCCACTGCACTCCCGCCAAGACTGCCAGCCCTCCCCAGCTTCGAGCCACGGGCAGCTGGAAGCGGGAGGAGCTTGCAATCTGAGATCTGTGCCGCATTGAAAGACGGATAGGCTGGTGACAGCTTTTTGCTCGCCGATGCTTGGTAGCTGGAATGCTGCTAAGCTCCCTTCGAACACGATTCGGCAGCAGCTGAAGCGCCTGGCCGGCGAGGCGACATCTTGTGGAGGTTCGGTCTGCTTGGGGCGACAGCGGATCTTCGGGCTGGGCATCTTATCATCCCAAAACCCTGAACATCCACTGAGCCCTCCAAACATCGCTAAACCCCGTCTGATCTGCGCGAATTAGACTCCGATACTTTCGTACCAGCAGCTTGGACGGAAGCCTGGGACCGCCAAGAGTCGAAACCGCCTCTTACACTCACCAGGACCCTGAATAGATGAGTGTGTATAAGGTATAGTGTACATGAGGCAGGGTGTAATATCGTAATACGATGGAATAGTGGCATCAAGAACTAGACTAGGCTACACTGTAGTGTACAGGGGCCTTAAGACCAGAATTGAAATTCTAGGGCCTTGAATCCCTGACTCCCGCGGAGATGCAGTGCCTTCGCACGCTGCGCACCGAACACGGGGCGAGCATGACCCGGGGCAAGCTCTTGTGGCACCTGAAGGACCTCGTGCTACCACTGCGTCAGTAAAGGGATGACTATAAGGGTTCTTGCAAGAGTGTGGCAACTGAAAGAACAGCAGCATTCAGCCTTTACCCACACATCTTGACAGATGCCATAGTGGACAAATTTCGCAACGAATTACAATCGAGCCGCATAATTTGTCTTGAACATGCCTACGTAGGTTACTCTACTCGCAAAAACCAAATAAACATCCTCTGCACAGTAACTCAGGCAAAGACATTATCGCCGGAGAAGGGGGCCATGGCGACCTCTTCACCGTTGTGTGTTCGACATTAATGAAGGTGTGTTTCATGAAAGTGTTATGTATACTGTATACGGAGAAAATATGAGAAATGATGCACCTACGTATGATCATTAACATGCTAGACATTCAGCGGCTACACTACCGAGTCATGGAAAGAAGAACGCCACTATGATTCGACTATGATTGTAATTCAATTCGAGACTTCGGGGGACAAACTACTCATGCGAATTTCCCAAATTGCTCTCAAGTCTCCATGATTCGCACTTTGAAGCTGAGAGAATCATCTATATGTCTTTCCAATTAGGCTTCGTCCAAGCATGTTTTGTTTCGCCTGTCGAGGCCCCGGCCACAACCTCCCCGAAGCTGTTGGGGTCTGAAGCACCCAAAACAGCACCACGTGGAGCACCGAGGTCACGCACTGCGCGGCGAACGGCACCACGAGGACCTGGCAGTGAGAGAGTGCAAGGAAGCAAGGGCTTGGAGCCGATACAGGTTGAGGAGCTCGGAGCGACGTTGATGACTGGTGGCGATGGATGGAACACCACGAGCGTCATAGCCGTGACGATGAGGATGCTCACACTGTGGAAGTTTTGTTGCTATGGTCGATCAGTGTCCCCAGCGCCTGTCTCATCGCCATCACCGCCTGCAGAGGCTTCTTCCTGCCGAGGGTTGACCATCATGGATGCCCTGACCTCGACTGCTCCCACACCACGGCATGCTGACATGAGCTTCCTTGAAGATGTCCTCGCTTTCCGCATCGGACCGAGTGCCTTCAGAGCTGCCTGTGTCACTGTCAAAGCGAACTCCTCGCGCATATCTCGAAAGCAAGGAAAACGGACACACAAACGACGTCAATGGCACGGGCGCATGTTGTCTCCGCCCCTTTTAGAAGAAACCCCTGCGAACATCCTATGACCTCCATCCTAGGAGCAAACTTCGCAAAAGGGGAGGCGAGGGATGCGTGCCACGAACCCCCAATCAATGTAACCCCGGTTTCGATCAGGATCGTCCTGCGCTCGGAGTTTTCAGTGGCCTCTTCGTGCCGCAGGTGACGATCAGCACTGTGCCACCTGCGTTTATCGAGAGTAGTTTGCCATGCACCTCACGCAGGGCCCGAATGTTGAGAATGAGGTTTTGGGTGGCGCAGTTGTAAATATATTCACATCGGGACTCTATGGGGGCATTATCGCATACTTAAATTCACTAGATACATCACCGGAACTGGCCTTTCTTGCAGGTCTGCGTGTGCGAGTTTCGGTCAAAGGCAATTTGATCCTGGCTTTCACATAGACTCCGGAATTTTGTTGCGTTTTGTATCCTTCGACTCACCCTCGGACCATCAAGCCGTCGAGCCTGCACCCCTGTCTGCTATTTCGTTTCAGGCGGCTCGGCACTCGCGCAGCACCAACTGCCGGACCCATGTATCCGAACGGGGCCTAAGACCTGCTTCCCAGGTTTGACAGGTGTCGAGGTGGCTCAAGAACGGCTTGGCGTTAGGAAACTTTCAATGAACGCGAAGCCACGGCAGCCTGCCCCACTTCGTGCGGGAACATCGAAACTCGGGAAACTAAACCTGCAAAGTCTGTTCCAAAACCAGAACGCAAGGATCCCGGATTTCCGAAGATCCCATCTTCGCAGGCCTGGCCTGCACGACCAGGATCTTCCACCACTTCTGGCAAGGCTTCCGGGTCCGCGATCTGCAACACGTCTACATGCATGCCAGTCCGAAACTTGGAGTGCAGCTTGTGCTCCCCAATGCCCACACATGTCGGAGTCTGTCTTTGGATGCGACTGTCACGTACGCATGTTGCTTGCGAAAGTGTAGAATTAACAAGCTCAGTCCGAGTGTGTAGTGGCTGGGGAGCCAAAACAGTTTGCAGCTGCAGGGTCGTTCTGGGCTCGATTACAGGGGCATTGAAGACTTTGAGAAGCTTGAAGAAACTCCAACATATCTGCCCAAGAAACACAAAACCCTTGACCTCAACCCGGAAGCCAAACCTGCCTTTCGACGCACCCGGGCGAGCTTGTCTGTATCCGCAGCCTGCATACATACTGGTTCAGATACGAGAGGCCGATTGAGCACTTGGTTTAGGGAAATTCAATAAATCCAGAAAGCTACAGCTTCCATACCCTGTCCCTTCAAAGACTTTCACACGTGAAGCCTCTATCTCCTTGGTGCTGCGTGGTTGTCCGGGCCTTCACTAGTTGAAGGTCTATGCCTCTTTGTTCTCGGCCACCTTGCGCCTGAAACACTAAGCCCCCCAACCCTAAATCACTTGTCCTCTAAACCCCGCCCCCCAAAACTGGGCCCATCAATCACTCAAGACCCTTACCCTATAAACCTTGAAACCCTCAATCACTTAACCCGTAGAGCCACTAAATCTCTAATCCCTAAACCCTCAATCAACTCAACCCAATAATCCTGAAAAGAGGGCCTCTTCATCACTTCAAACCCTTAAGAAACTTATCCGAAAACCCTTATAATAAATTATCCTAAAACTCCTTAGCCCTAAACCTATTCATATATCCCCTAAAAGGGGGAGCCCTTTCCTCAGCTTCGAGGAGCTCCAGCTTCGATGAGATGCGCACTGCTTCTTTGAGCTCTGCAGGCGTGGCACCTCGGGGTTGTTGGGGTCTTGGGTTGTAGGGTTTTAGGGTTTTAGGGTTTAGGGTTTAAAAGCTCGAACCGGCAAATGCCCTAGCCATTTCGGCCAGGAACCCCAAGCACGAAGTTTGGGACACTCAAGCAGCCAGGCAAGTTCAACACCACCGCGGCCGTCAGTAAGCACCTGCGCTGGATGCTTCAGCGCTGTGCTAATGCCATGGGTGTTAGGATGTGTTAGGGGCATATCTCAACGTCTGGCGGTCGTCTGTGTGTGTGTGTGTGATACAACCCCTTTTGTTCTCAAGGTTTCTGCATGAAGCGACACAGAGCAACAAGAAAGGGCTGCTGCCGCATGCAAAGCAGTAGCAAAAGGGCTGCTTCCCGCAGCTTACGACGAAGATCGCACTTCAACACCACTAACCCAACCTCAAGCAGCTTGTCCAATCTCACTGAAGCTTACTTTAGCCCAGGCCTACGGATATAGGGCCCATGGTGACAGCATAGTATACTATACACTACCTTACTGAACTATATATTGAAGCTTGTATGGGTCCCCCTCCGCAGTTTTAAATCGGGGTTCAATAAGGAATTGGAAACAACCCTCCTAAAGCCCTAAACCACTGAACAATGAATCTTCAGGTCTGTGGTCGTCGCAAGAGTATCACGAAAGACCCAGGGAATCCGTCTAGAAAGCGGAGGACGACTTGAAAGTGTAGGCTTTAAGATGTACAGGAAGCGTATGTCTCTGTAGGATCATATGGTGCCTACACCCTGAGGCCATGTACGTTGATGTCGCTCATCACCAAGCCTCCCGCAGGATGAAGTCACGGGCCAAGTTCGAATCCGAGAAATAGAACCTGCGAAACCCTTGCGGTGCGAGCAGCTACTTTCAACTGTCGCTCGCAATCGGAAGCTCTTGCTGCTGCTGATCTTCCCGAATCTGCATCCCGCCGCCCTGAACGCCCACAGTCCCATCTATTGTCATCGATACCCCGTGCCCCTCAAGAACCAAGCAGCTAGGATGCATACTTTCCTACGGTGGAGCTGCAAGGAGAAGCTTCGAAACCCAATCCACGCCCAGGCCCCAAAATCACGTCGCTGGTCCATATCTCCCAGACTCAGGAATCCCGAACCTCTCAACCCTAAACTCAGGAATCCCGAAACCCTAAACCCTACAAACCATCTAAGCTCCTCACAGGCGTGAAAGAACCAGGGTCCCCGACCCCTAAAGCCCCCCACTAAGTCCGTCCCCCCTCCGCACAATATAGGGGCCTTAATAATCAGAATAGGGTTTCGTGGAACTGAAATAGGGAACCGCAGATACTATCATTATACTTATGACATGGAACCCCAGAGTAGTATTGGTAATTAGGTAGGCCCGTTTTTGTAAAACCAAGGGCCGGACTCGAGTTGCCGGCAAATGCGTCCCAGTCGAAGCTGGCGCCGGGATTCGTCTTCAGCTCCAGGACCTCTTTGAGCAAACGCGACATATCCTAAAAGACCAGATGAACCCTAAACGGGTTTAAGGCTCATAT